CTAGAATAGTCATTTACCACTTTAGCAATGTATAGAGTGTATTTCTTTAAAGACTAGTTTAAAGTTATCTTCATTGAAAAGTATAGTGCTTTCCCTCAAGAATAAAGACATTTCAATGTGACCCCAAACTTTTGAATGGCAGTGTAAATAAACTGAATTGAATTTAATTGAATGGTTTACCACCTAAAAACTAGAATAAATGAGCTATGTATATACATATACATATATATACATATATATGTATGTATATATATGTATACATATATGTATATATATGTATATATACATATATGTGGTGGACACCGATAGTAAGGGATGCCGTCAAGCTGAAGAAGGAGTCCTATCAAGCCTGGCTGGCTTGTGGGACTTCTGGAGCAGCAAGCAGGTACCGTGAGGCCAAGCGTGTCGCGGCCCGGGCGGTTGCAGAGGCAAAATCTCGGGCCTGGGAGGAGTTTGGAGAGGCCATGGAAAAAGACTATCGGTTGGCCTCAAAGCGATTCTGGCAAACCGTCCGGCGCCTCCGGAGGGGAAAGCAGTGCTTCACTAACACTGTTTTTAGTGGGTGTGGGGAGCTGCTGACCTTGAAGGAGGATATTGTCGGGCGGTGGAAGGAATACTTTGAGGATCTCCTCAACCCGACAGACATGCCTTCCGTGGGGGAAGAAGAGACGAGGTGCTTGGGGCTGGGTTCGTCCATCACCCAGGCTGAAGTCACCGAGGTAGTCAAAAAACTCCACGGTGGCAAGGCTTCGGGGGTGGACGAGATCCGACCTGAGTATCTCAGAGCTCTGGATGTTGTCGGGCTGTCATGGTTGACACGTCTCTTCAACATCGCGTGGAGGTCGGGGACAGTTCCCCTGGATTGGCAGACTGGGGTGGTGGTTCCCCTCCACAAGAAGGGGGACCGGAGGGTGTGTTCCAACTATCGGGGAATCACACTTCTCAGCCTCCCCGGAAAGGCCTATGCCAGGGTGCTGGAGAGGAGAGTCCGGCTGATTGTCGAACCTCGGCTGCAGGAGGAGCAGTGTGGTTTTCGTCCTGGCCGTGGAACGGTGGACCAGCTCTACACCCTCTGTAGGGTGCTTGAGGGTTCATGGGAGTTTGCCCAACCAGTCCACATGTGTTTTGTGGACTTGGAGAAGGCATTCGACCGTGTCCCTCGTGCTGCCCTGTGGGGGGTGCTCCAGGAGTATGGAGTCAGGGGCCCTTTATTAGGGGCCATCCGTTCTCTGTACAAGCGGAGCAGGAGTCTGGTTCGCATTGCCGGCATTAAGTCGGACCTGTTCCCGGTGCATGTTGGACTCCGACAGGGCTGCCCTCTGTCACCGGTCCTGTTCATAACTTTTATGGACAGGATTTCTAGGTGCAGCCAAGGACCGGAGGGGGTCTGGTTTGGGGAACAGCGGATCTCGTCCCTGCTTTTTGCGGATGACGTAGTTCTGCTGGCTCCCTCCTGCCAAGACCTACAGCGTGCGCTGGGGCGGTTCGCAGCCGAGTGTGAAGCGGCCGGGATGAGAATCAGCTCCTCCAAATCCGAGGCCATGGTTCTCGACCGGAAAAAGGTGGCTTGTCCCCTTCGGGTTGGAGGGGAGTCCTTGCCTCAAGTGGAGGAGTTCAAGTATCTTGGAGTCCTGTTCACGAGTGAGGGAAGAATGGAGCGGGAGATCGATAGACGGATCGGTGCGGCTGCTGCAATAATGCGGACGCTGCACCGGTCTGTCCTGGTGAAGAGAGAGCTGAGCGAAAAGGCAAAGCTCTCAATTTACCGGTCGGTCTACGTTCCTACCCTCACCTATGGTCATGAAATTTGGATCATGACCGAAAGAACGAGATCCCGGATACAAGCGGCTGAAATGAGCTTTCTCCGCAGGGTGGCTGGGCTCTCCCTTAGAGATAGGGTGAGGAGCTCGGTCATTCGGGAGAGGCTCAGTGTAGAGCCGGTTCTCCTCCACATCGAGAGGAGTCAGTTGAGGTGGCTCGGACATCTTCTTCGGATGCCCCCTGGACGCCTCCCTCGGGAGGTGCTCCAGGCATGTCCCACCGGGAGGAGGCCCAGGGGACGACCCAGGACACGCTGGAGAGACTATGTCTCTCGGCTGGCCTGGGAGCGCCTAGGGCTTCCCCCAACAGAGCTGGAGGAGGTGTCTGCGGAGAGGGAAGTCTGGGAGTCTCTGCTTAGCCTGCTGCCCCCGCGACCCGGTTCCGGATAAAGCGGGAGACGACGAGTACGAGACGAGTACATATATGTATATATACATATATATACATATATGTATATATATGTATATATACATATATGTATATATATGTATATATACATATATATACATATATGTATATATATGTATATATATGTATATATACATATATATACATATATGTATATGTATATATGTACATATATATGTATATATATATATATATATATATATATATATATATATATATATATATATATATAATGAAGAATGACAGCTTATTTCTTTCTGCATCTCAGATCAAAGACGTTTAGCTGTTCTTTGGACTCACAGTAAACCAGACTACTACTTTTTCCATTAAGGAGTTTTTGACATGTCAAATGAAGACAAAGCCTTTACATCCCAGCTACTGTGAGGACATGATGGTGCATGATGCGTACTGTATGTGCTGCTGATAAACAGGAGGCCCTGCTGATGTGAAAAGGGTCAAAGCTTTGTGTTGACCCTGAGGTTCAGGGACTAGAGCAGCATAGGTCGTGTGAATTGTCAGTACTCATCAACACAGTCAGTTGGAATCTGATTGTTCCATCCCAACAACATGGCAACATTTCATGACGGAGTTCATCATTGGCCGCACCATTAGTGGTGCACTCGTCAGACCTCAGCAAGGCACAACCCTAAATTATTACAAAACTGACCAGCTAGACTTTGATGCACCACCCCCCCCCCACCACCACACACTCTCACACACACACACACACACACACACACACACACACACACACACACACACACACACACACACACACACACACACACACACACACACACACACACACAGCTTAAGAAAAGGGAAAACCTAAAAACTCTTTCCAGAGTTGCATAACTAGGAGCCAAAGTTGGACATTTCGAACTCCCCACCCAAATTGTATGAAATCATTGCTCAATTACTATGACCCCAGGCTGCTCTTTGTGAATAATTGGGCTAATATCAAGCAGAACATTTTCACCTTAGCTTCATAACCAAACAAGACCCTTGAGACCTCTGTTATGCAGAAACCTGAAGGATTGAGTGACTTGTCATCCTCCCTTTGAAACAAGAGGGGTGAGGCTGTTATCCCCATGGCATTTATTGGTTGCTGTGGATTTATGTACAAAACTTACAACAGGATTTCACAACGGATTTTTTTATTTTATGACACAAGCACATGCTTAACTTGTTTCAATGTTACATTTTTGTTTCTATGTGACTTAAAGAAATGACTTTATTGCTGCTGACATCACTATAACCAATAAGCGTAAAAACAAAAACATTTGTGGTTATGAATCATTAATGCAGGAAACCCCAAAAAAACATTCTAGATTTGTGTAAGAGTTACATCATAGGTGTTAAAGGTTGTATTTGTCAAGCCAAATAATATGCCAAGTTGCACTTTTTTTTGCACATGCCTAATCCCTGTTTGAAGTGCAAACATTTAAATGCTCATTTACAATATATACAGTTGTTATGAAAACATTGACATAATAAAAGCTGGACATTTCATATAAAGAAACAAAAGCAGTTCTATTATACTATCAATCAAATTATGTAGGTACATAAAGAATACATTTTTGTTCAGTTTAATCAGCACATTCCTCAGATTGCCTTGTATGGTTAAGAAAAAGTAAGTATGAGGCCAGGATGATAATCAAGCTGATTCATATAAAAAGTGCGTGGTGGCAGGATGGAGCTGATGCGCAAATGATAACAAGACTGATATCTGAGCTTTGCAAGTGTTTCTCAGAAACATGCCTGCTGTAAGAGGCTGAAATAATATCACAAGTTGAATTTGATGCCAAGAAGATAAAAAATAAAAAAAGATTAGCAAGAAGAACAAAGGTTATTAAAGCCGACACCTCTCTGGATGAATCTAAACAGCAACAGGGAAGGCTGATTATTTAGTTAAATAAACAGAACCTCTGGAAAAAATTGACTCAGCACATGTTGAATGCTTGGGGTGTTATTTTACTCTGAAGCAAAGTACAACAAAAACTAAAAGGTTTCCTTCTTCCATAACTGTTAAAGTATTTCCTACCCTTGTACTTAAACCATGACTTACACTTATACCGGTACTTATATAACAGAGTTGATCATCAAAGAGGTTGTTTTGTGGATTTCTAAGGACTCAGGTTTCATTAAAGGTTCCCTGCAGCCTTTAGAGTCAGTGTTGAGACCCCTTCTTCCGAAAAAACAGTATTTCTATTGCCTGAGGGGATAATATGATAAGTTTAGAAGAAAGAAGAAGAAACAAACTAAAGTGATATGGCTGCAGCCTCGAGACCTCCCCCCTCCCCCACAGTATCATAGTGCTTATCTAATGGTGCTTGTTTGGTGAACTTAAGCTGCGTTCCCTCAGTGTTTACATCCCAAAATAAAACTCTTATTAAGTATCATCCTTTTTGTCAAGTGATGAAATGTACATTGTTACACCATATTCTGTGACTCAGCCATCATTTTTGAAGGAGGTGCTGTTGAAGAATCTCCTCACTAGTCTACTATGTACTGAACCAAACAAGACTTTTAACACAATCATCAGAAAATCATCCTTTGACTGACGGTTGTATGGTTAGTCCTGCCATGCACGGTAAGTGATTAGTAAAAAGGAAAAACATCAAATTACAGAATGGTAGCTAGTAAATAAAAACCAGGTTTGAGTCGAATCTGTTTTGTTTTTGTTAAAAACACACAAAAACCCCCCCAACTAAAAACGACTAAATGGCATTAAAGGACATTTTAATATTTTCTTACTGTGCTTGTATTCAGTCACTTGTCGGTTGAACGGTAAAAATTCGGTAAAATAATGTTTTCAGGTTTTTGTCATAGTTTGTTTTTCGAAACTCTGCAAATAAGTGTAGGGTTCAAAACTCTGTATGGAAACCTGTTTTGAAAGATATTACGCAATGCGAAACAAATTTAAATCAAGTAGAAGGTGTTAGATGAGTTCTTGATATTAAAGCTACATTCCATAATTAACATTGCGTGTAAATATTTTCTCTTTTAATTGTTTTCAATACAACCTGTGAGATGATTTCAGCTTGATCCTGCTTTTTGATCTTGTCACACTAGTTTGAGGTCAGCTAAACAATAACATAGCAGTCCTGTTCCATCCAATAATGTGGGCTTAAAGGCTGGTAAATACTTAGAATCCTGTAATTGGTTGCCATATTGGCAGGCCTACAGACACATAGGACGTGTTCACTCCTCAATGAAGTTTACCTGATATGTGACCTGATTGCCATTGTCCCATGCGTACAAAAGCTTATCCTTGGGGTTGTAGTCGATCTGGGTGGTGAAGGAGTACTCATTGGTGAAGGGTAGGCGTGGGATTGCCTCAGTATTTGTGTGGGTATCATAGGCATAGTTCACCTCTGCTTCTTTCTGGTTGTGCACATCGACAGCGTAAAGGACGCCGCAGATGATGAAGCAGTTTCCATAAGTGTTCCGCTTGAGGCTTGTTCGGTAGGTTGTTTCCTTTTTCAGGGACAGATCTCCAGGATCCAGTTTACTAATCACAATCAACTCTTGCTGATTGTAGTCATAGTCCAAAGATGGGTAGATTACCCACAGACCACTTTCGTCTATTGCAAAGTCAATATCCGAGTGTCCCCTCCATTTCCAGGGGGTGGTATCCTCGTAAACGACATCATGCAGCAGCGTCCAGGCGGCCACATATCGCATCCGAAGGTCATACTTAATGATGTTCTTGGTGAAGGCCCTGTTGTAGTAGAAAGCTCCGTTATAAACCACATGGCCAGTCCCAATCCAGTTATAGGGCAGTTTGTAAAGGTTACTCCAACGCCCTAGGACAAAAAAGACACAATATTAGTTTTTTGCCCATTTATTGCAGCCTATGGTAATACTTAATTCTCATATCACCATTCAATGCATTTTTCTTCCACCAGTGTATCATTCCTGATGTAATCTGCCTGAGTGATAGCTAATTATCTCTATATTTAAGTTATCTCTGGTGACTGGTATACTGTGATCCAAGAAAAACCATGCCTTTTCAAAAATATTTCTCATACACTCTTTTGTCATCTTCCCAGCCCCAGGCGTGCTCCCTCCCTTATTGTAATGCATCTCCTGAGACTGCAGGGCCTGAGTTCAAGTATGAACACCCGAAACCAAAAGTGATGTGCCAACACAAATGCAGTAAAAATATTTGCACATGCCCACTCATTCGATATAAAAAGATTATCTCTAAACAAATTAGGAATAATCCCCTCCTTTGGCAGATTCTTCCAATACATCAGCCTGTCCTGAGCCGAACTGCTCAAACATGTGTCAACAAGTTAACAAATTTGTGTTAAATTTAGATAGAATGCATAAGATAGAAGTTCTCCATAGAGTTGCTATTTTATTCCAAACTAACCCCCGTAAACATAGCCATCAAATTCAAGCACATTTTTTATTGCCTTGGTTTGGCTTCCAGAATTTTCTGCAGGGAATTACATCTGGCATAAAAACTCTCTGAGTGTGAGTATGTATCCTATGTTTGGATGAAGCTGAAGAAATCAGGGCCAATCTCAGTGTGAAACCATCAAATTATTCATCAATATATTTCAGAATTGGTCTGAATTAACACCTGAATTATATTAAAAGTGTAAACAGTAAATTCATTACTTAGGCCAAGAGAATGACAGGTCTTAAAATCCTTTTTAGAGACTAAAAAGAATGTTTTTACACCTTCAGTTAGTAAGATAAGACAAGACAAGACAAGACAAGACAAGACAAGACAAGACTTCATTGATATCAGAACGGAGTGTCTCGTCTAAAAGCAGTCATACAATAAATCAGACGGTCTAGTTGATCGTTACCACTAAGGAAATAATAGACTGACATTGCAAGCAAAGACATATTTTATGCTTTACTCACTAAGAGTTGCAAACATGGAGCTTCCCTTGCTAAGCTAATGTTTTCACAATACCAGACTGTATGCACACAGGCTTAGTGTAACAGTGATCATGTTAGTTTAGGATTCCACCCTTTAACTAACACACTTTGTACTATAGGTGTCATTTTCTAATCACATCCCATTTCCCATTCTAACCCTCAAATCTCAGGAAGTCAGATGGAGATAAACTGAGGCCTGTGAAGAACAAAAACAATGTGCAGTAGAATCCCCCCCCCAGCACCACTCACTCTCTAGCCACATCCCTGAGCATAACCGCCTCTCTTAAAGGAATAGTACACCCAAAACACGATTAGCCTTCATTTTCTACTCACCTCCATGCTGAACAACACTCTGGAGTACTTTTTTGATATCTCAAATGCATCTGGAGATCTGGGAGGCTTCTTGCTGTCTGCTGACATTCAAATAATGGAGGTCTATTGTGCCCGAGACAGAAATGTCCATAAAAGTCCACAAAAACGTGTCAATATTCCTCCATACTGCTCGTCCAATGTATTCCAAGTGTCCTGAGTGGGTAGCATCCAGAATTTACTCGAAACGAAGTCATTTAGAATGTTTTTAGAGCATAAACAGTAGTGTATAGGATTTCCTGAAAGCGCGCACATGCGCGTTCACGAGCCTACGGAAGCCGGCAGACCAAACCAGCGCATTCAGCTCGGCAAAGAACTCATGCTCTTCCTCAACACTGAAGTCCTCAGACATTTTTCTTTCGTTGTTTCTTTCTTTACACAGGTAAACAGCACATTTCTTCTATTACGCTTGCATTATCGGCAGAGCAGACTCGAATGCGCACTTTCATCTGGTTTAGTCTGCCGGCTTCCGTAGCGTCATGAACGCGCCGGCGCGCGCTTTCAGGAAATCCTATACACTACTGTTTATGCTCTAAAAACATTCTAAATGACTTCATTTCGAGTAAATTCTGGATGCTACCCACTCAGGACACTTGGAATACATTGGACGAGCAGTATGGAGGAATATTGACACGTTTTTGTGGACTTTTATGGACCTTTCTGTCTCGGGCACCGTAGACCTCCATTATTTGAATGTCAGCAGACAGCAAGAAGCCTCCCAGAACTCCAGATGCATTTGAGATATCAAAAAAGTACTCCAGGGTGTTGTTCAGCATGGGGGTGAGTAGAAAATGAAGGCTAATCATGTTTTGGGTGTACTATTCCTTTAATCCCTTTCTGCTGGATTTAGTTCAAAAGGAGAGGCCAAAGCACGTCAATAAACAGCAGGAATCACGTTACTCACCAAGATATCTAGTCATCCACACACAGCTGTGCGCTCACAACTTTACAGACCTCCTCACATGTAAGGGCGTATTAGTAAACCCATTTCCCAAAGATATATAGATCAACAACTCATTCCAAACACATGCAGATCTTCCTCCCACTTCCAAAAAGGGAAATCCAATTCTTCAGTTTATTTAGACATAGAAGTGGACTCTCCCACCCAAAGAATCTCTGAATAAAACAACACTAACGATTTCACACCTCTGCTTGGTTTTCTAAAGCATAATACAGGACTGGTTTAAATGTTCATGATTATTCTTGTTGCACAAAACACAAGTATGTGTTTAAACACAGTGAAGGTTAAACTGATGTATTAGAAAAAGGATTCAAAAGGAACTACATCCAAAAGATGGTATTTTAGGGGTGTGTCTGTTTGAACCCCTTTTTGAGGTTTAACACTGTTAAAAAGTAATTTTTTGTGGGGTATAATACAGTTAATGTGTTGTATTTTCATCTAATTGCAGAGGCAGGTCATCCGGGAGGGACTCGGAGTAGAGCCGCTGCTCCTCCACGTCGAGAGGAGCCAGTTAAGGTGGCTTGGGCATCTGTTTAGGATGCCTCCAGGACGCCTCCCTGGTGAGGTGTTCCGGGCACGTCCCACCGGGGGGAGGCCCCGGGGAAGACCCAGGACACGCTGGAGAGACTATGTTTCTCGGCTGGCCTGGGAACGCCTTGGGGTTCCTCCTGAAGAGCTGGAAGAAGTGGCTGGGGAGAGGGAAGTCTGGGCCTCCCTTCTTAAACTGCTGCCCCCGCGACCCGACCCCGGATAAGCGGAGGAAGATGGATGGATGGATGGATGCAGAGGCAGATAAAACTTTTATCAAACCAAAGAGAAATTCCGCTAGGTTTGTATAAAAAGCCAGGAGAATGTTTCTTTTTTCAGTTTTTGGTTTTTACAGCACTAGTGGCTCATTTTTAGGCTGACAGGAGAGTCAATATCACTATGAAGTGCCTTTGGTGTCCTCATCAGACTCACTCAGTCATCATGAAAATGTAGCAGAATAATGAAAGTCTGAGGTCTTATTATAAGTGGCCAAACACTTGCACACATATCAGTACAATGACAAGTCTCTTAAAATTTGTTTCCTTCATTTTATACAATTTCTTTTTATTGGATGTACGTGATTTTGGTATGTCCCACACACTGCTCGGCTAACTACAGTGTGTGTAATAAGTGGTTAAATAATACTAAATCAAAAAAATGTTTACATGGTTTTATTGTCCACAATAAGTTATTTGATAAAACAAGTCATTTTGTTAATGTATATTGTATTTTCATAAATATATTGAACATTTTGCATGTGTCCCTGAAATTGCGGTCCACCCTGTCATTATGGGGTAACTGTCCCTTTAAGAAACCCACTGATGTTTTCAGTGACATCACTACAAGCATTTTTTCTTTGTTCAATGGAGGCTGAAGCAATGGCAAGTTGCAGAGTAAGTATTTACACTTATGTTTCTTAATTTTTATCATATTATGTGTGTAGTTGGATGTTGTCAAGCTTAACATGTCCACCCTGTCATAGTGAAATATCAATTGATAGAAAAACCTATCAAAACTTTGAAATATATTTGTAAATCAGTACATAGTCAGCTTGCTGACTGTAGCATGTTGCGAAGTGAAGGTCCACCATGTGCTCATTAAATGCTAAGATTAGCCAAAAATGTCCACCCTGTCATTGTCCACCCTGTCAGCAAGCCTTCCATGACAGGGTGGACATGGTTCATGACAGGAAGGACATGTGCATAGTTTAGACCACATGCTGATAATGTTACACATATTACAACAGGTATTACACACATTTTATAACAGTACATGCTATACTTTGTAAAATTGGACAATTTGGAAAAAATTTTGGCGATATCTGTATCACCAAGCCTAGTTTGATAAGGCAAGCCTATTTTACAGGGACTGCCAATTAAAATGTGTAACGGAACATTTTGAATCGTCTTTTTCAAGGAATGAGATCAAAAGGAGCTGAGATAGCAAGGAGATATCGGGAACGTCGTGATGCTGGCCCAGACAGAAGAAGAAAGTACCTTGAAAAAGAAAGGGTCAAATGGAAAAAAGACAGAGAGACTGGAAAGAAGAAGGGTGTCAATGACCTCAGTGAGAGAGTGAAGAGGGCAAAAAGAAAGAAATGGAGAGAGGCAAAAAGACAAACCAGAGCCAGAAACAGGGCCAGTGCTTTGCTACAGTCAGAGACACCACCCAACTCCCCTGCTGAAACTCCTGAAAATCAGCGTGAGCCAGGCCCCTCCAGGTTAGATCATTGGAAGTTTAGCTGATGAGACTTATTAGAACGTTTAAATTTATTTGAAGGACAATTATCAACTGTTTATGTCCCCATAAAATGACATATGAAGGGTTCAGATGCAAAAGCCTCTAAATGCCACCTACGTCAAAAATTAGATAAAGATGGTGAATGGATGCTCTCCACACATAGTATAACCAGTATCGACAAAAGGGAAATTTCTTCTACCTCTCAACGGAACCCTACAAGTATGGCTTCAAAGAAATAATATGGAATTTCTTTGAGGCTAATCATGGGAAGGGGGCACCAGACGGTGTAGGTGGGGCCCTCAAGAGGTCAGCAGACCGGATTGTAGCCCATGGAGGTGACATTCCTGATGCCCAGAGCTTGTATGACAAGCTGAAAAGCCTGGACGTATCTGTCAAGCTGTTCTTCATCCCAGAGAGGGATATTGAATCAATGCCTGAGATACCTGCAATAGCTGCCGTAAAAGGCACTATGAGAATCGACCAAGCTATCAGTCTGACACCCGGCCAAATGAAATACAGAGACATTTCATGTCTATGTAAAAGGGAGAAAGGTATTTTGGACTGTCCCTGCTTTAATCTTCAAGAGGTCACTCTAGCTAATGTTCCTGTTTCATCTGACAAGTCCCCAGCATGTGGAAAGACACCAGATAATCCTAGGAGACCAGAAATGATTGAAGTAAAGCACATTGGAGAGTGGTGCATTGTTAATTATGACAATGAAGCATACCCAGGTATCATCATGGATGCAGAAGGGCATAGTGTGAAAGTTAAGTGTATGCAATGCCATGGCATAAACCAGTTCAAATGGCCAGGTCTTCGGGACGACATCTGTTGGTACCATGACTGGCAGGTACTTTGCCTAATACCAGAACCACAGGCTCTGAACAAGCGCTCTTTACAGATTGAAGCGTCTGCGTGGAAGTATGTGGAACAGCAACTGCAGAACTGAGCGAGCCATGTCTCTTCAGAAAGGAAGAGATTGTTTGGAGATGCTTCCAAGTGATCTTTCTCAAATATTCTGTTTTTTCAAATCACCTGTTCTCCACTTAAAAATTGTTTTCTTTTTGTTCTACAGTTGAATGTTTGACTTTCACTGTGCAGAGTTTAACGCTAGAAGGCCACATTAATGTCTAAGTTTGAGCATCTTTATTCAGTGGCTGCATGCAGGTAGAGTGGATCAAAACTAGTCTGTTCGACCAGTACATGGGAAAAGGCATTTTTTACACATTTTTTACACAATTTTCTTGCATTGTTCCTTGCATTTATGGGGCAATTCAATGACATTCCAAAACATGTCCACCCTGTCATGCCCAGGGTCCACCCTGTCATGTCTCTGTCCACCCTGTTATTTTCATGTTCTATGAAAATAAACAAATTATTTCCACACGTTAGAAAAATCTTTTGTGTGATTCCTTTATAAGCAAATAAGGGCCAAATAGTATTGTTTGAAAATTTGACCAGATATCTTTGTTGTTAGATTTTATTTAGAAAAGAAAGTGCAACTCTCGCAGATTTTATAGAGAAACAAATAATTTTCCATAATTTCATTATTATCCAAATACTTTTCCCATTAACTAAAATGTATTGTTGAGAAAGGGACTAAATAGTTTTCTGAAAATTTACATTTTATAATCACTATGTAATTACAATGTATTTACTCTGTTTTAAAATTGTCCATGACAGGGTGGACATATTTTGCTTTTTGCATGTAAATTGTCTGCTTGCAGTTAATTTATAAAAAGTGTGGGAGCTTGACCAATATGTATTTCTAACAGCATAACATATACTTAATATAATATATATGAAGTTCAATGGAAAGTCATATCTTTTTTGGGGGGGCCAGGGGAGTCTCAAAGGCACCTTATGGTGATATTGACTCAGGAAAGGGGGTATGAGAGGGGGAGAGACATGCGGGAAAGGACCACAGGCTGGATTCGAACCTGGTTGCTGCGTCAACGACGTAGGCCTCCATACATGTACATGGGTCATGTGTGCTAACCATTGCGCCACCAATGCGCACCCCAAGAGAGTGTTTCTTTTTCACATACAAGAGGGAATGAGAGTGCTTTGACCACTCTTCTCAAATATTTTCTTACTGGACTATGGCAAAAAACTGTTTATAGCTCATACCTACTTTCATCTAAAATGTTAAAGGAATAGTACACCCAAAACATGATTAGCCTTCATTTTCTACTCACACTACGGAAACATTTTTCTTTCGTTGTTTCTTTCTTTGCACAGGTAAACAGCACATTTCTTGTTCTACGCTTGCATTATCATCAGAGCAGACGCTGAATGCGCACTTTCATCTGGTTTGGTCTGCCGGCTTCCGTAGCGTCATGAACGCGCCGGCGCGCGCTTTCAGGAAATCCTATACACTACTGTTTATGCTCTAAAAACATTCTAAATGACTTCGTTTCGAGTAAATTCTGGATGCTACCCACTCAGGACACTTGGAATACATTGGACGAGCAGTATGGAGGAATATTGACACGTTTTTTGTGGACTTTTATGGACCTTTCTGCCTCGGGCACCATAGACCTCCATTATTTGAATGTCAGCAGACAGCAAGAAGCCTCCCAGATCTCCAGATGCATTTGAGATATCAAAAAAGTACTCCAGAGTGTTGTTCAGCATGGGGGTGAGTAGAAAAGGAAGGGTAATCATGTTTTGGGTGTACTATTCCTTTAAAAATTGCTGGCAAAAATGATTCAATTGAATATTCTGGTACTTGCATTTTTCACAACCAAACACTTTACATTCATTTCCTGCCACTAGGAATGGAGGTAGAACGTGTCCAAGTGATTGCCCAGATTTGGGAGCTGTTACCCGGGATTCTCAGTGCCATGGCCTGCTGGGGTTTTGCTGCTTGAAACAACTATAGAATATTTAAATGTAGGTTCATAATCCTGGGGAACTAACTGCACTGATGACATTTTGAGGTATGCTTTCTCTCTTAAAAACACTTCTTACTTAAAACTACTTTTTTCTCACTCATAACAGCAAATAAAGTAAAACCATTCTCTCGATTGCATCTGCCATTGCAGAGACTTGAGTTAAGGACTGGGCCAGGTCTTAACACTCCCAGTGACAGCAACACAAACACAGAGGCCAAGCACGGAGAACTTTTGTGATGGAGGTGACTGGTGCAGAGGAGCAGAGGTGTCTAACTGTAGAACGGGACTAGATTAAAATTATTGTAGCATTTTAAATAAAAGATAAATTATAACCATAAAGCAAACACAAATACGTATTCAAGATCAGATGCAGTACACTTAATAAACATTGGAGGGCATCAAACAGATACTTTTGGGCCTAAAAGCAGGAATGCAAATGTGTCTAACAATTTAGACAAGGGGTATCCATGGATACAGCTTTGTGATTCAACCATAAGACTGTCAAAATGACATGTATGGCAGAGATTTAAAGCTAAACCAACGTAAAAATCATCAGAAAACATCATTATGATTATTTACATATAGCACTGACTGATGTGTAGAAATAGATTATCTTTATGTGAGTGAAAATTAATGTCTACATTTGAAACCCTATAAGATTTTAAATTTTGGTGAGCTTTTGGACAAAAGTGGTAACAGGACCAAAACAGACACAAAATACTAAAAACACAAGTTAAATTAAACTGAGAAATGATGGAACATTCATCAACAGAAACACAAACAGCTGAGCTGTTTTCTGAGAGTTCAAATTTTGAATATTTTGGATGGAGAAGAAAGATGGCTTGAGAGAGGAGTGAAAAAAAGTCTTTCATATTGATAGAAAACAACTCCAAATGGAGTAGGAGGCCTCAGATTTCAACTTTTAGCCCAGGATTTAGCCTGATGTCAAGTCAGTTTCTAACAAATTCACACCTTCCAGCAGGCAACCAAATCATTTCTCAATCCTTCACCAGCTCTGAACCTAGTAAGTACTTTGCACAAACAGCAGAAACTCTTGTGGTCCGGTTGTTTTGTATTAAAACTAGGGCTGGGCAACTTAACACGTTACTTTCACTTTAATTCATTAAAGCCGAGATTTACTTTATCACATGTTACAATGCTATTAATCACGTTTAATCAGGCATATTATGCGATTAATTGTGATTAAAGATTTTAAACATTGTCCAGCCCTAATTAAAAACTTTTTGGATTAGTGAGAGGAATGTTATACATCTTTTTAAGAAGACCTGAATGATACACACCTTGTTTGAAGTTATCCAGGTTACGGAACTCCACTAGGTTGTTACCATAGTAGTAATTAGTCACATAGATCTTGGAGTCCTTAGCCAAAGGATCCTTCATCCAGGCTCCTTCGTTGCGCCCATAACTGTGTTGCTTCTCTGGTTGCTCTATGGATGCCAAAGTCCCTTCACAGTTCAGGATCTTCCCTAGAAAAACAAGCAGGAAAATAAACCTCCTTGTCAGAGTAACAACACAAAAAAAAGACTTGCAAGAAAATGAGCTTAAATGGATTTAATCCCTCTGCATATCTTTGCAGCCATAACCAACATGCTTTCTGCTGCTTAGTAGGCCAGTTTTACTGTACCTGCACATTGCTGAACACTGAAATAAACTGAATTGAATTGATCTTTCTCACTGCAAAGACGTACCTGCTCGGTGGAGACTGGGCCGACTGTTGTTGTTGGAGTTGTCCAGCACAAGAACAATAGTAGGAGCAGGCCTTTCAAACAGGGGTTTACTTTGGGTTGTAGTGGTGGTGGGTTCTGAGGGGGTTGAAGTGGTGGTGACGGTTGTTGTGGTGGCAGGGGTAGTAGTGGTAGTGGAAGGAGTGGGAGCTACAGTGGTCTCAAAGCGCTCAGCCACAGTTGCCTCAAGAGGTTCTAGGATGGTTTCAGTCCCTCCTTCCTCAGACTCGTGTTCTGTGAGATGATGGACCGGGTGTGTTTTCACTGAGTGTTCTGATTAAGAGGAATCAGAAGAAAAGAGCAATGAAGACAACAGAGACAGTAACTGGAACAAAAAGTCCTGAGGAGGAGTGCTGTCAAACAAGAGAAAAAGCTTTTAAAGCTACAGTGTGTAACTTTTAGCGACATCTAGCGGTCAGACTGCAGACTGCAGCAACATGAACATCTTCCCCCACCGCTTCTCCCCCCCAACAGTACGGCGAGCGTTACGGGACAAAATGTCTTCCACGACGTCCGCATCACCTACCTTCTCAAGTGATGAGGTTTGTTTACATAGATAATTTTACAAATAGTATTTCATTAGTCTGTGTAGGGTATAGATTTCATGTAGACTTAAGATAATAAATATACCCATTATTTTTTCTACATCGTTGTGACGTTTTGGCGATCTCGCAATCGCTAGTTTGTTGGCTCTGCGCTGCCGTAGCGCAAAGATGTCTGCCTCCATGGCTGCGAGACCCGCTCCTATGTAATTATAAATAACGAATTCTAAGGCAACGCAAATATTAAGGTTAAGAGGCTGAGCTCGTAGATGATGATAAATAACATAGTTATGTATAATATATTACATTTCTGACTGTATATCCCTATAATTATTGCACACAGTAGCTTTAACTTTTGTTCACTAATATTTAAAGAGAGAAGGGGTCAAGCATAATGGTTGGTAGGTACAGAGGTTTTTGCTCTACACAAATATTTGGACCAAAAAATATCAGGAGTATATTTGTATGAATATTTACCAAATCTAACATTTTTTAGGCGCCTTTTCATCCTTCCCCTAAACCACGAGAAAAATATTGGGATTTCATGTTGAATGGCAATCTAAGACTTGTTCAGAACCAGGGCCTCAACCTCGGAGGGGCTAATCTGCTAATATGTCCTGTGTTCAAATCTGAAGCCATCCCAAACTAAATATCATCTGTCCTGTGGTATTACCCAGAGATAATGAACAGAATCATTGGCAAAGGGTCTCCCTGGTAGACTCTGAAAATTACAGAAAACAAGTCTGACAGTGGTATGAACAAGCTTCTCTTAGTACAGTTGTGCAAGTACCGATGACTCTTAGTCAGGTTCTCTGAAGAGATGGTTATCAAGAGTGAAGTGGATTACATAGGCTAACACCTTTAACATGCAATAGATACCTCATAATGAAGTGCGCCACAGGATGGACCTCAACCATGGCCAGTTTTATCAGCAGTGTTATCACTTTTAATTAAAACTACTTAAAGGCATTGCTGGTTGTTGTGTCACAGGCATTCCAGTTTATCAGAAACTAAAAGGTGTTGCCACAAATACATTGCATTTTTATCCAACGTTTTTGCCACATGAAAACATTGGTAAAAGCTCTCAGGTCTTCTTCAAGTTAGGAAAAACTATAAAGAGTGATTGGCTGTTGGGGATGATGTATACAACTTATCAAATATGAGCTTTTAAGCTGTTTAAGTACACCTAGAAAACCTGCTGGGGGCAGTGATGGAGAGTATACATGCTGGGATACATGCATTAATCATAGAGCCTGAGGCTCAGAGCATTGACATCTATAAAACCACATGCAAACTTGATAGAGTGCACAAAATTGATCTAACCAGCTGCAATAGGAAATTAGTTTCTAAAATGAGCGTGAAAAAGGGGGAAATTTGTAGCTGCTTGTTTTATATGCAAAACAAATGCTCAATTCCAAAACATCTAAACTTAATAGGGAGTATGCAAATATAATTTATTAGTACAACAAAAAATTACCTACACCAAGGAGGTTATGTTTCAAGTTTGTATGTCTGTCTTTCTGTCTGTGTACTGGGTAACTTGAAAAGTTATGACCAGATTTTAATGACATTTTTACCAAAGGTGCACCTGAATCCAAGGAACAATAAAAAACATTTTTAAGAACAATCCACATCATAATTCTGATTTTTAAAAAGGATTCTTTAACATTATTTGGCGTAACAAGCAGTTTCCCTATAAACTAAAGGTGGCCAGCAGTGACCGTTGACAGCTTCAACATCAGACTCAATAAAGTCCAGAAGTATCATACTGAAGACAAAAACACAGGGAAGGTTCACCATGTCGCTCGAACTTTCAGTCTGCTCATCAAAGAAGAAAGCAGAGTGAGTAAAGTAGATGAGAGCAGAACAAACACCAGAGGCTGCGGAAACACGCTGTGCCTTATTTATAAACTTATGAAAGGATTTTAAGGAATTGTTACCAAAGGTGCACGTCATGCCAACTAACAATCGATTAAAATTGGATAATGATCCAGATCACAAGCAAGTTTTAGCTATAGGTGTAAGTCAGAATATCGAGGGAAATATGCTGCTTGGTGGAGGTCTACACTCTCTGGGTGCTTTTCCAATCTAACAATGATTTATGTTATGGTTCTCCACTTTTGGGACTTTGATTGTTTAGTTTCTGTATCTAAGTAATTCTGTTTTGTTGATCTATGGTTTATTTTCCATTTTGTGTTATATTTAAGCCAGTCTTTAGTTACTCTCTGTTGCCCCCTTGTGCCTGTCTCCTTTCCTTTAGCTCCCTTCTAGTCGCTTCCATCCACACCTGCTCCATATCATCTGATTACACCAGTCTTTGTTCTGTCTCCCATACATACTATCTCTGTGCAGTTCGTCAGTTCTGGTTCCTTGGTGCTGTTTTGTTGCTTCTTCATCTCTGCTCCCCACATAAGTTTTCCCTGATCTTTGCTGGTTTTTGGTTCTAAGTATTTTTTGTGTTTTTGGATGTTTGCCTCAGTTTTCCTCCATTAAACCTACAAGAACTAATATCTGCCTTACTCATATCAGCTTTTGGGTCTTTAAGCAACCTCACCCCCACATTGACAATTTAACAATTAAAATCTGAGAAAATATTTGTATTGTCAGAAGTACTAGTAGTCTTATAAGAAAGGGTAAAAACATCTGTGAGGACAGATTAATGCAGCGGGAGAAAGAAAAAGACAAACACCATGACCAAACCTAAATATTATTAGATATTTATAAACAAAACAACACAGAACATTAACAGTCACCAAAGAAGAAACCTCCATGAGGTCAGTAAAGAGTTCACATCGTGCAACTCAGGTCTAAGTTGTTATGTCTCCTGATAAAAGTCAACAGTCTGCATCACAGGCAGCTTTTTTCAAGTTCTAAACTATTTGATTCAACCTGCGTAACAGATGTGTGAGGGAATTACAGCTGAATATTTTTCTGACAGGCATGCTGGGACCACATGGACAGCAAGAAAAAAGCAAATGGTAGAAAGATTTGAATTGATAAAGCAATCATGGTTTTTAATGGTTCTTTTATTGAGGTTTAGAAATTATTTCAGAGATAAGAGGCAGCCAAGCAGCAATATGAATGTCAATATCAGAACCAAATACAAGAAGCTCAAATGATCATGTTTTAAGGGTCTGTTTAAACCCAATCTGTTTAAACTGCTATGGATTAAATTTTTGTACTAACCGAGAGAAACCCACATCTTGTTTACAGCTGACTGCATGGAGACAATATACCAGCTAATAGTTGATGAATGGAACAGCAATCTGTCTTCAGTTAAGCACATGCAAGGGACATTTTGGAAATATGTTTTTCATAGTACAGATCAAAGTCTTTGGCACAATAAAACTTTTATTATATTGTTTTTTTGCATAACTTTAATCATGATGTCTGCCTTCTAGTTGCATCACATTTTTTTTTTACATTTCAACGGTGGAAATAAATTATTTATTTATTACAGATTTCTTAAAAAATAAGCCCAACCAGAGCAGTTATATTGTCCCACAATCCATATGATGTGTTGTTAGTAAGCTTCAAAAGAAAGGACAAAAATGCCAAAAAAAAAGACTTAAACATGTTTTGTTTTGATATATCCAGGAAAGATTTCTGCACTTAAACCTGGTACCCTTTTCATTTTATTTCCTTTTGTTTAGATGATATAGATTAAATGTTATTAGGCTCTAACTACTTTTTGGAGGGATTAGATTAATAGATTAATTGATTTTATTTGTACTGTTTTATATAACATCCTTTCAAAAACAGCATTTAAGCAACATGAAGAGAACAACAGGAGATGAGCAATATGAATGTGAATGGGACAAAACAGAAACTGGAAAGAATAGATTTAAGATTTGACTATTACTATTAGACTGTTGATATAATTTTGGGCTCTACAGTAAAAAAATAATGAATTTGAAATGTCTAAAATTACATTAAGTTATGTTCTGCAATGCAATCAAATATCTACTGTTTCTACATTCTCATCCAGGAGGAACGATACTATTCAAATTGTTTTACTATTAGATCCTTGTTGCAAACAGCTGCAGTTTTGTATAATAATTGCAGTTAACAGACATTAATAAAGAAGATAAGAGAATTTAATGAATGGAGATTTCCAGTAGAGGATGATGTCTGGCTTGAGAACACTTACGGTATTTCTATATAGAGTGTCTGCTGCTCATTTTCCGGTTGTTTAACCCCGAAAACAGGCTCCTTTTTATGTAGTTATGATATCGATAATGAGGACATTATTTTCTGTGCAAATTTAGATAAAGAGCCATGACAGGAAAGGAATAAAACAAAGCCTAAAATGTAAAGAGGAATAATTAATCTAGTAAGATTATTTCCAGCTGTGTTGAAAGGCAGATAAAGCCAGAGAGTTAAGAAATGAGGCATCATCCTTAGTAATAGGTGAATGAGTGAATAAGTGAATAAATAAGTTCGGAAAAAGGCGCCATATAGGAACCTTTCTAAATAAGAACACCAACAACAATCTGCAAAAAGAAAACAGATTTTTATTTCCTTCAGCTGCATTGTAACTGTTACAAAATGTAAGTTATTTAACATTTTTGAAATTACACATGAAAGGAATGAAAGGCTGGAGCGGTTCTGCCTTTCCTGGCGATTTTAAGGGTCACTGCATCTTGTTTGCAGCAAAAGGAGCAGGTGCAGAGATTTGACAAGGATGGCTGGGCTCTCTTAGATTCACATACATGGCAGAACATAGCTTCTGACAGAACTATACATGCACACTGTGAAAACGCAGCAGGCCTAATCAGCTCTCTACAGACCTAAGGGGAGTTTAGGAAATGTTTTCTCTCCAACATAAGGTCCCTCTAGTTCACTGTAAGGAAAAACGCAAAGGATTGTCATGAACATTCAGACAATCAATTTTAGCTCCAACTATATTGGTAATAAAAAAGGGTTGATTTCCCGCACATAATAAAAACACTAGAACTGTTACAACTACTACTATTCTAAGAAGACTCTTCTACTGTTCCCTGTTGGTAGAAACCTAGTAAATATTGACCCCTGACTGTTTGCCTGCTGCCTTATGATTCAGTGTCATGCGGACTTAGAGACTATTTTAGATAAATTTCAACACCCACCATGGATCAGGCACACATGATTACAGCCACTGGAGAGAAAAAGAAACTGATTGCAGAACGTTTTCACTGTTGCTCTGTCATGATCTGCCCTTATAGCTGACCTTAATTGTTCATTTCACTCACCTGCCTCACTCTGCCCGGTCTCTAATTATCAGTTATCCTATCCACCTGTGCCTGCTGCTTCATATAGGGCTCAGCTCAGCTATCAGGGAAAGATCATCGTATGATGTTTGTCAGTTTGTTTCATTAGTTTTTAGTTTATTTCCAAGGTTTGTGTCCTTGTTCCTGGCAGCCAGTAGGTTGAGAGGATTTAGGGTTTGTCTCATCTCCTGGCTCCTAGGTGAAGACCAGTTTAAAATACTGCAGTAATCCCGGTACCATGTCTTGTCTCTGTCCCTCAACCACTCAGCATGCCTGTCTGCATCTGTGCGTTTCTGTCTGAGCTTGTTTCTCAACACATGGAACTCTGAACCTGCCTTCATGCTCTGTGAGTTCCTGGATCCCTGGATTTGTCTGTTCCTGTATGGACCAGAACCCCTGACTGGGCTGCGGACTCCTGGATTCCTGAACTGTTTCTGTCGGATCTGTATCCCTGACCTGGAGTGGATTCCTGCCTGTTCACTGGGGTTTCTGCGTCAGGGACACTCCGGGCGGCTCTGCGGCGCAGCTCATTTTGCAGTCCATCGGCTGGATCCTGCCTTCCCCGGATAGGATGGACTGAACTGTTTAATGAGGTAAGTGACTCACACAGATAATCATCTCCTGTCAGATGATCCTGGTCACTTAGCTGTGTTTGTCCCTCCACAGTGTCAGTGATTGGGTGGTACCCTGCCTCCTCCACTGCAGCCGCTGCTATCCACAGCTCTGCTCTTCTGTTCTGTTATGTTAATTTTAATAAACGTTTTGAACTTTCCCACAGCCTGTCTCACATTGAATACTGGGTCCATCTGCTCCATGACAAGTTCGCCATGATCTATGTTTAGAGAGACCAAATTTGAATCTCTTACCTCCTCTTTGGCCGTCTTCGTTCATTCTAGAGGCCTTGTAGTACGTGATGCTCCTCACGATGCTAGGCTGGTGGCCAACCACCTTAGATTTTGCAGTAGGGTCGGGCTTAGCTGGTTTTCCAGCCTTTGTGACCTCTTTCTTGGGCTTGATTGGCTTCTCTTTGGGTATCTTGGAAGCAGGGGTCTTTTTGTTTGCTACTTTTATTGCAGGCTTGGCTTTTTCATCACGAGTGTCCTGTGAAGAAAATAGGAGGGTTGTCAACGGTGCCAAAGGTAACATTGGGAATCTTAATTTGTTTGTTTACCAATTTATCTAAAACAAACAGAATATTTTGAAAAGTTAAGGTTTTTTTGGTGTTTTTTGTGCAAAATCATTATGGTTAACATATCTAAAGTCTTTGTAATTATTCTATATAATTTATTTCACTTTGTGCGCTGAGTTACTGTAATAAGTAAATGTTTCAATAATATTTCAATTAATTGAATATGACTTTAACACCAATGGTTGCTAATTTAGGATAATTTGTCTTTTGTAAAATATATTCAAACCTTTTTTTTACAGTTAGCATTCTCTTACTTACACAATGTAAAATCACCTCTACTCCTAATATGACGTCTCGCAGCAAGAAAGTTGAAAGATATTCTTTAAAAAACTGTTAAATGTATTCTATATATAGAGCAATAACTAAGAATCTGTATCAACAGATTTAAACTTGAAATCCTTAGAAAGTAATTCATTTTCAGGTAATAAACTGCACCTTTAAGATAGGAAATTGAAAAAAAATAAAAATAAATAAAGTTTGGTTACTCATCTTAACATAACTTTAGATAAAGGGGTGGTTCCAAATTGTAAAATCCTTTTAAACCATGTTTTAATAATTATGATAACAGATTAACACAAATGCAGTTGTGGTATCTTCTGTATGTGAAATATTTTGAGGTGTTTTTTTAATGATCTTAAAATATATTAAAGAAACAAATTAAAGAAGTGATAATATATGTTGAATATTAATAAATAAAGATGACTGAATATTAAAAAATGTTTAAAAATATAAAAAAAATAAGAATTGTTTGAATAATGGACATTAAATGCATAGTAAATTTTGCTCCTATCATTACCTACATGTAAAACTTAGTAAATTTGGCTCCTATCATTACCTACATGTAAAACTTAGTCCTCTACCGCTAAAAACTATTCATGTCAGGAAGGTCTCGTTTTATAAAAAGCTTAAATTGTCACTGAGCTGCTTCAAACCTGTGCTTTGCTCTCAGAGGAGTCTTTCTGCAGCAGCTGCAGGCTTAGTGAGGAGATCTCCTTCTTGATGCTCATCATGATGTTGGAGTAGTTCTCATATTTTTTAAACTGGTTGGTGAGGCTCATCATGCTGTCCCGCACATATTCGTTGTCTCGAGTTAGGTTTGCTTTGATGGACTGTAAGACAGTGGTTATAGTTTGCATTAAATTAACACGTTTTGTTAAACCCCTTCACTCTGTGTGATTGTTCTTTGTTTCCTACCTCTTCAAGGGTGTTCATCTGAGAGACAACCTTGTTGATGTAGGAGTGAACCTTTAACATATCCATGCTGTACAGAGTTCCCTCCAGGAGGTCCACCATAGACTGCAGCTGGTGAACCAAACCATAAAAAAACATCTTCAATCCTTTTTACATCATCTAAACCCCAGGTGTATATATTTATATGCAGAGATGGGAAGTAACGAAGTACAAATACTTCGTTACCGTACTCAAGTAGATTTTTCCGATATTTTTACTATACTACTTATTTTTATGGTGACTTTTTACTTCTACTCCTTACCTTTTTACACAAATATCTGTACTTTCTACTCCTTACATTTTAAAAAATTGGCTTGCTACTTTAGTTTTGAATCATTTCAATGGAGTTACCGTTATTATTTTTCACGTCATCAATACCAAATTCAATCTAATTGGATGGGAATCTACGTTGCATTTGACGCACCCCTACAAGATGAATCGACAGATTTGGCGGTATTCATTCGCGGCAAATCATTGCAGCTTGGTGGCGGTGGCGTTAGCATAGTAGTATGGACGACGACATGATTGAAAATGAACACAACGGAGATCTAGTCCTATTGGCAGACATCCATTTAAAATATAGGCAACGGCATGAAAAAAGTGGTTTCTACTTTTACTTTTATACTTTAAGTAAATTTACAAGCCTGTACTTTATTACTTTTACTTGAGTAAAGAAGTTTAATCAGTACTTCCGCTTTTACCAGAGTATTTTTTAACACAAGTATCTGTACTTTTACTCAAGTATGGAAAGTGAGTACTTTTGCCATCTCTGTTTATATGTTTGCATCTAAAGAACACCCTGCAGTACTCATGGATCACTGTTTAGTTTAAATTTTATTATTTCTCATATATCAGCCTACTGAAACTCAGAAATGTTGGTGTACTTCAGACCAGAAATACAAAGACGTGTATAATAATTTTTTTAACAGATTTGTTATCCTCACCCCAGTCCAAATAAATAGTTTTTTTTTTTTTTTTTGTTTCGGTCAATGTATGGAGGTATTCTTTTCTATTCTCTATCTAACTGGTAAATTATGGTCTCTAATTTTAACTATGGGGAACTGAGAGCTGCAGTGGTTGAAATGTTTGTTCTGGGTTATTTTGTGACATTCTGAATGAGTCTTTAAGGATAACCAATTTCATCTGTAGCTGCAAATATAAATTACAAGGAAATCAGATCTCTACATGTAACTCATCCTTCTAGGAGCAACAGGCAGAGTGAAGGAGCAATCTAAGGCTAAGGGTCCTGCTCAGGGACCCTGAGTGGCAGGCTAGCATATGCCCTCATGGAGGAGTTTTCGTTATCTCCTGAAAAGCTCTATCACTCTTCCTGCTTATGCTCTTTGGTTTCTCTCTTTTTCATCTACCCTGAACCATGTTGTCAGATATGATCTAATCATATAATTAGATCATATCTGACAAAAAGTTATGTAATTACTTGATTCTGCAGGTTTGACAGAAATCATGACAAGATGAGGTCATCTTTTGACAATGAAGATGATTTTAGTTTAAATTCAATATCGGTTTGGTGACCTGAAAGTTTCAGTGTAATAAAACAGCAGAAAGGGAAGCGATCTGTGAGGATCTGCATAAATTATTTCCTAGTTTACCGATATATCATTCATTACTTACATTTACAGTATAGAACAGATTGCAGTCGTACCCTCCAAAGGTGTCATTAATTATAATTAACTAAGGCAAATGCAGATGTGCTATGTTTAGTTTTTAAGATGTTTGGATGTTCTTTTTTTCTTGCTCCTTTATGAAAAACTAGATTAAAGGAGTCATTACCTAAAAAGAACTGTCCTTCATGTGAAGACATGTTGGAGTTGGGCATTGGCTAAAACCTGTTGGACAATTAGGAGTGTGAAAGTGGTTTGGTTGTTTCATCTTTGTTTGAACCAGAGAGTAATTTTGGTCTTCTTTATTGATTAACGTAATTTGTGGAAAGGTGCTAAGATTAGCCAACCTTGCTTTTATGACTCCAGTCTGTAATCCATCAAAACAGGCAATTCCACCTATCAGAACCTCACCTGCAGGCACCCAGTAAGTGTTGCTGTTTGTGTAATTTTTTACTTTTTACTAGAGAGAGAAATGATGACAAACCAAATATGGCAAACTGCTAATGTTTCTAATGCTACATCCAGGTGAACACACATAAAATCAAGCTAGATTCCTGTGCAGGCCTTTATGATAAAGATGAAATCTGAATGAGCTCTATTTATTTTTTCTATAAAAAACATGAATATAAGGACAATTACTGTAATATTATTGCATAACATTGCTTCGAGTAAAATGTAGTTTATTTAAATTTTTGCTCAACCTGCAACCAAATCTAATGTCTTTTATTGTTTTTGTTTTTTTTCCCAATGTCTATTCTGCTTTGCTTAGTCTTCCAGCAAATACTGTTCCCTTGACCTCGGCTGGATGAGCTAATGCTGATATAAAATTATCCAAAGACAAAACACAACATTCCTCTACACTGCATCCTACAAACAGCTTACACAAGCTTTAATTTTTTAGCACATGTTGGAAGCTTTTCAGCTCCACCACCAACCTACACTTAAAGACAAAAAACAGGTTGGGTGTAAGGAATAATCTCCACTATCAAAATGAATGAACAATGCCTCCACAACGCCCATTCATTTCTGATAACAGAAACCTGATTCCATATTATCCTGCTTATACCATAGTGACTTAAACAAAACAAATGTTTAGTCAGCTATTTATACATTATTATATTTTTTAACTTTCAACAGTAAACTCCTGTTTTTCACAAAAAGTGACTATGCATTTAACAGACGTTGATGTAACATGTTGCCAAGGTAACCGTCTCTGGCCACAGAACCTGCATCCTGGTCAGCAGCTGTTATTGTCTTCTGGAAGGTCATTACCAAGTAGCGTTTGAAAAAGCGTACAAGCTATCTGACAGGAACCCTTCAGGGGACATCCTAGCCTCGTGAGACCATCCTGATCTCGCAAGCTTTCAAGGTTTCACTAGCAGATCAGTCTGGAGACTCTCCGTTGAAGAAAATTTGGAGCCGTTCACCAAACGAATGTCCAATCAGCGTTGGCTTTGAGGCGGGTTGAGGTGTCACCCAACGAGAAGCGCAACAGTTCAGTCTAAGGAACATGGCGGCTTCAGCTGATGAAACTAGCGTTAACGTGGCTATCCAGCAAGTTTTAAGTATTTCTTCACTGAAAGAAGAGCAAAACACTGCTCTGGAGGCTTTTCTCAGAGGAAAAGATGTTTTTGCTCTTCTCCCAACTGGTTTCGGCAAGAGTTTGATCTTGTGGTTGTGTTTTCATCGTCGCTCTGTTAGTACCTCATATGCTTCGTTGATTTGATTGGTTTATTTGGCCCGTCTATCACCAACATAGGCCAATCAGCTAACCAGTATTTTCGCCCCTTCCCAAAATTATTTCAACGGAAGTTTTCCAGATGGATATGCGGAGCAAATCCATCTGGCGGAGTCAGGTTAGGAACATCCTGCTACCAGTCAGAATTAAGAACTTACACAGACACAGTATAAACCAAGTGGTGACCTTAAAACCTAAAAGTATAGCTTTATCCAAGCTGCCCTGATCTAATCTTGGTGTGAGTGGTAGCTTCGATTCCCCAGTTTTCAAGGTAGGCGCCGTCAGCTGTTGTAGCCCATCTGATTGAAAGGTTTTTTGTGTTTGTTAGTGAGAAACAGAATGGATGTACTTAAAAAAAAAGTAGCCAAGTGTTTAAAGATTTAGAAAACACAACAACAGACAAATTAGAGAAATGTTACAAAAAGAAAAGTTTGGAAAAAATCTGGGTCACGTAAAAATTACAATTAAGGCTCCTTTACAAAAGAATAAAACAAATAAGAAGAAAAGCATGTCCCTGAAGCTCCGCCTTCCTCACCTTTAATAACTCTGGGGCCTGTTTCTTCAGCTTCTCCATCTTCCACTCATTTTCACACGGGTTTAGGGAGGAGGGTGGAGCCGTGCATGAACACTTACAGTCCGATCCAGAGCTGACCGTCTCTACCGTGTAGAAGTCCTCCACCCGCACGGCGCCGCTGCGCAGCCGCTGGCAGGCATCTTTGCTCAGGGGCCGCATGATGCACTTGCAGCGGCAGTCGGAGCCCTCCGACGTCATCCTGACAGGCTCAGTCTCCCCAAATATCTAAAAGACACAATGTTTGATTTTTTTTAAACCATTTAGTAACTCGTAAGAAGAATGGAGTGGAAAAGTCTGAATGGCTAAGTTTACTAAGAGTATAAACTAAGGTGTTTTGTTCTCTCCGCAACAGAAGACCTGAGGTGCCTTTCCCAGTCATCTGAAACAGATGAAGGAAGGAAGGTGATTCTGAAAAATAAACACATGCTTCCTTTCTTTTGAATGTAAGCTGGTGTGACTCAGACAAAATCCTTAGAGAAATATATAATTAAGTCAGCCTCCCCACCAGCTGGCCTGCAGCGGTTGATGACAGGCTCTTTGGCAGACCATGGCCTACTTAATAAACAGGAGGAAAGGCATTGCCATCCGAACACAGCCTTCCTCACATTTCCTATGTTGGCATGAAGGCTTACAAAAAGTGAAGAAACCCCCTAATTCAGTTTATTGCAATGCCCCAAAAAAATGTTGAAGGGATGATTCTGCTGTAAAATGCTCCAACTAATCTGAACAATCAATCTCTTTATTTAGACACAATTATGGACCATGAACAGACAGGCTAAATTTATTTTTAACCTAAGTAGGTGTTTCCTGAATGAACCATAGTGAGCTTGGTGGAAACATGATTTTGGAGTCAGAACAAAGTAGAACAATGCACAGCATTTGCCCTTTTGGGAATCCATTGTCACAAAGCATTTACTCCCTATTGAACGTCTAATCTAGACATCAGAGAGCACGAATCAAAAGCTGAAGTATTAGACAGTTTGATCTAATATTTCAGCAACAAAACATGGTAGATTTGCTTGCAGAAAGATGTAGGTCCTAATCTTCATAAGGTTTGCACATCGTAAAAGATGTGCGAAGTGGCTCTTCAAAAAAGGTGCAAAGTGATTTACGCTTTCAAGTCAGCAAACAGCAAATGAAAACCTTTTTTTTCCTACATGTTTGCTTTGTATGCAGATCATACTCTAATAACCATAATGTACAAATTAACAGATGGAGAATAAGCAAATGTAAACATTCAAAACATACGAAGTGATTTTCTAAATCAGAAACTGGCTTCAGATGCAGTTTTTTGCCCCTCTTTTAGTACTCCTCATAGTTAGGTACATTTTTCTGCCAAAAAGTAAGCATTGGTGTGACAGCAGATGATGGAGAGATATTCTGGGTACATGTAAATCGATTTGGACTATCAAAAAGTCCCATAGTAGAATAATATTAATAAAGAAAAGAAAAAAAGGTATACACATACTGGCATAAATAAACGCAGCAGAAGAGCAAAATGACAAACACTGCATCAAAGAGGCGCACACAGACTACAGAGATTGTCAGGAATCCAGTTTGTGTTGCCTGTTTTTGTTTCCTTTCCTCCTCCACCAGGTGGTGCCCCATCCTCATTGGGCCTCCCTGCACACCTGCAGCTTGTTGCCTCATTACCTGCACACCTGTACCTTGTTGCCTCATTATCTGTGGAGTGTTACGTCCACCTGGCTTGTTAGGTGGGGTAACATTAATGGAGACCACACAAGGATTTTTAGAGTTAATGAAAAAGGAAATTTATTAAATTATATTAAGTAAAACCTGAAAAAGGATTACCTGAAATAAGAAGCCAAAACAAATTAATGCAAAACCCTTAACCAATTAGAAATAAACAAACGCAAAACAAACCTAACAAAACTCAATCATAAGGTACAAACCAAACCAACTGGGTTCTGAAGAGGGAGAGGAGGAAAAAAGCCTCCTGACTGCTGCAGCATGACAGCTTTTAAAGCAGAAGAGCACCAATCAGGGAAAAAACATAACACCTGCAGAAGGCCTGCCTCCAGGACCCTAAAAGAAAAAGCAGAGACCCACTGCAGCCGTAACACAAAGCTGCTGACTGCCACTGCCTTGGGTCCAGAGTGTTTGCCAGTTTGGGGTACTCTAGCCATGCTTAGTTTAGCAGAAGTAAGTAGCAGGAAGTCATTAGCAAACTGGATGTTTCGGACCTTCTCTCCCCTGGAAGGATCTTCTGAGAACCAAACTGAGCTAAGGATTCAAGTTTGTGGTTTGGATCAACTTTCCCCCCCAAGGATTGTCTGGGGCTTCTCTCTGAGCAGGGGATTCATCTCCACAATACCCCGTTCAAGGACCGCAGGAAATCTAAGTGGCAGTCAGTAGTGATGGGTCTGACGACACTGAAACCTCGGCGCATGCGCCGAGCAAACAAGGTGAAGCCCCGTGTCGGTGCGCGTATCTCTTTAAGAAAAACCACGTGACCGATACAGTTCCTGTGTCGCTTGATTGTGAACGCGCCAAATTGTATTTATAAACAGAAAATGTATCGACACATTTGTGGGTTTTGTTGGATGGAGATAGTTTGTGTTGTTTGCTTTACATTGGTTTTTGGCTTGTCATCTAAAACTATGGATCAATCAAGGAAGAGGAAGTTTTCACCCGTGTGGGATCATTTTGATCTTATCACTGAGAATAAGGTAAATTATTATTCCTTTCTTGTTTCCACCATTGATCATTCTTCTCTTGGTTATTCTAATTTCTTTCTGAAGAATATTTTAATTAGTTTACATGGATTAACTTTTATTTCTATTGTAGGTGAAATGTAGGATTTGCTCCCAGGTGCTGTCTTACTCTAACCGGAGCACTTCCACAATGCTGAGGCATTACCGTGCCCGGCATGAGATGGAAGAACGAGTTAATACTCCCGTGATTAGCCCTGGTGCTTCCAGAAAGCAGGCGATTGATGAGGCTGTAATGAACATGATCATTACAGACTGTCAGCCGCTTAGCCTTGTGGAAAACAAAGGGGTTCCGAGAGCTGGTCCAACTCCTTGAGCCCTCATATGTTCTGCCATGCAGAAAGGTACGTGAAACTAACTGTTATACATGTTAACAAAGTATATGCATGTTATTTGATATCAATCATTAAGCTACTCCACTTGTGTTATTAATTTTAGGCTATCAAGACCATGATTAGCCAGAGGTATGAGGAGAAAAAGGAGCAAATTAAAAAAGAACTGAAGAGTGCAGCTGCAGTCAGCCTAACAGCTGACATGTGGACATCCATGAACATGGAGGCTTACCTGGCTGTGACCTGTCACTATGTCAACAGTGAGAACCATACACTGTGTACATCAATGTTGGGAGTGGAACACTTCCCTCAGCAGCACACTGCTGAAAATATGGCCCAAGTAAAGAAAAACTTAATGCAGGAGTGGGCCATAGCAGAGAAAGTTACATGTCTTGTCACAGATGCGGCTGCAAACATGGTTGCATGTGTCAAAAAGCTCCAAATCAGGCACACGATTTGCATAGCGCATTCTTTGAATTTAACAGTTCGAAAATCATGTGACCAAATTGAGACGCTCACTGAAATCCGAAATAAAACAAAGCACATTGTAACATACTTTAGAACCAGTACTACAGCCAAAGAGAAGCTGGCACAAGTCCAGCTACAGATGGGAGGACCAGTGAAGAAATTAATCAATGAGGTGTCAACTAGATGGAACAGCACATATTTAATGCTGGAACGCATGGCGGAACAGAAGGAGTCGGTGTTGGTATCACTAGCTTCTTTAAAAAGTGATATACCTCAGCTCACTACAAATGATTATAAAATCATAGAGGAGACACTCCGTGTGCTTGCTCCATTTAATCAAGCGACAGTGGAGCTGTCTGAGGAAAAAAGAGTGTCTGGATCAAAGGTAATCCCAATGCTCAAAATGTTGCACCTCTCACTGCAACGCAATGCATTAAATGTAACCACGGAAACCGCAATTAATCTTGTGGAAAACCTAAAAAGAAGACTGCTAGAAACTCTGTGCAACCTGGAGTCATTGAGTGTAATGACAATGCCAACACTGCTGGACCCTCGGTTCAAGACCATGGCATTCTTAAGTGCGTCAAAAGCCAATGATGCAGTGAAAAGACTAAAATCAGAGTGTGCAGCAGTAATGAGAAACGCTATACCAACACAAATGGAAGATGCCCAAGCTGGACCTTCAACTCAACCATCTGATTCCAATCCAGGTATGTATGATTCTTAATTTTGTTCATTTGTATTTTAATGTTCATGCAAATCATTCCATGTGAATACTATGAATTAGTAACACAGATGCATTTTATTATTTCCTCAGATGACAACCTGTGGCACCAGCTGGACATAGAAGTCAAGGAGAGCAAGGCCAATTCAAATGTCACCACCGATGCCATTATCGAGGTACAAAGATACATCTCCGAAGAGAACACACCAAGATCACAGGATCCACTACAATACTGGAAATCGCAAAGACTAAATTATCCTACGTTGTACAAACTTGCAATGACATTTTTATGTACGCCGTCATCATCAGTGCCCTGTGAAAGGGTGTTCTCAAAAGCAGGAGAAATGGTTTGTAAGCGGCGCAATCGCCTTGGCCCAAAGATGTTAACGCAGCTGATGTTTCTAAATAAAAATGTGTGAAAGAACCTTGTTCAGTCTGTTTCCAGTCTTTATTGAAGTTGCCTGCAATTACTTTTTAAATCCAGCAGATGTCGCCATTCAGTGATACAGCAAAACAGTTTCAACACAGTGTCGACACAGTTTGGGAAATGTGCCATACACCCAATGGGGCCTCATCTGCCCATCACTAGCAGTCAGCTTCTCCGTTCACCAAGGAACAACCGCAATCTGGGTAAACCCTGTCCGCCCTCCATCAACAAGACAATCATTGGAACATCCCACACAGACTGGATTCATAAAAGACACCTTTTTCTGGAAACGTGAGTCTGCAACCTATTCCTCCTCTTCAAGTCAAAGATTCTAATTTCCCACTGAGCCTGAACTAAGCGCAGTGTCTTCCCCTCACCCTCCAGTTCCAGTTTGACGGTGTTCAGAGCAGCACTGGACTCATCTCATTATACTAAATAAACCCGTTAAACTTTTCCCTGGTCTCTCTGTTTGGTCTTCTGCATTTGGGTCAGATCTTTAATTAAATAATGACAGAGATAATAGTCTATGAAGCTATAACACC